AAATAAAAAATAACAATCAACCTTTGCACTCAGTTCTCCCCCGGCTTGCCAGCTTTGCCTGCTGTATTCCCGCCTGTCAAGCTGTCATTTCAGCAGCCACTTTTTCCTCTCCACGGCAGAGCAGAGGCCCTCCTGGTCTCTCCCTCCTTGCCATGGCAGAGATGGGATTTTCCTAGTTTCCCCCGTCCTTACAGAGCAGAGCTGTCCAGCCAGCTGGTTCCCTCTCCCCTCACCCCCCTCCTGGCACTCTGATGTCACAGGTTTTGTTTTTCCAAAGCAGGGTTGTAAAACTTGTTTGAACACCAGGAAGCCACGCGGGAGCTCCTGCAGGCTGACACTGCAGGCTGAGGCAGTGGGAGAAGCCAAGCCAGTCCAACTCTGAGCAGGAACGAGGAAAGGAAGGCACACGGGCAGGAGGGCTGGCCTCCAGTGGCCTGCAGGTTGTAAGAAACGTGCCCCCGCCACCAGGTGAGTGACAGCTGCCTATCACCCTGGGATGAGACCCCGATTAGACAGGGTGATGGTGACAGAAGCCAGGAGAGTAGTGGGGACGCAGACAGGGTGGAGGAGGAAGGAGGAAAGGAAGGCACACGGGCAGGAGGGCTGGCCTCCAGTGGCCTGCAGGTTGTAAGAAACGTGCCCCCGCCACCAGGTGAGTGACAGCTGCCTATCACCCTGGGATGAGACCCCAATTAGACAGGGTGATGGTGACAGAAGCCAGGAGAGTAGTGGGGACACAGACAGGGTGGAGGAGGAAGGAGGAAAGGTGCAACACAGGAGCAGAAGGTAGGGGAGAAGGACTGAAGGAAAACAACCTCCCCAGGACCCCCCACCCCCTACCCCCAGTGGGGAAGCCAACTGAGGAGGAGAGCATCTGATTCGATTGGAAGGGAGGAGCTGGGTCCAGCGAGAGAAAGTAAATGCATGCTTTCTCCTTGGTTGAGACTGAGTAACACCCTGCTCAGAGGAAAGCCTCCAGCATCCCACCAAGAAACGGGACATCTGGCTTTGGACAATCTTGAGGGCAAGGCATGGAGATCATAGGAAAGGTCAGAGCTAATGACCTTGAATTCCTGGGAAACGGGCAGATTGTGTGGGGTTCATCCCCAGTGAAAGGAGGCAGAGAGTGAAGCGCTTGGTGGGTCTCCAAATCAGCTACTCTCTTCCCAGCAAGTCAGGTTCCTTGTGTGAGGGGTCAAGGTCTAAGGCAAGCCATACACGCCACATTTGTTCTTCTGGAATTTGAAATGGGGATTGTGGACTCACACTTTGACCAACACTGGGCAAAGTGCATGCAAAGCTGGAACAAAACTTTCCCTCTGCAAAGGAGATTAAAGCGGTTGTGGGTTGCTTTGGGGTCTGGAAAGCGGAGGAAGGGGAATTAAAAGGGATTCTCACAAGGGGGAGGGTTAGAAGAGAGCTGCTCTGATGCTCGAGAAGGAAGTGTGTGCAAGTTGTGGCAAGGAAAGCTTTCAGGTTGGAGCAACGTTGCCTTTTCCTAGGCAGATTAGCATTGGCCTGGGCTCGTAGTATGATGTGAAGACAGGAAGTCGGTTGAAAAGGTGAAAGATCGAGAGTTCTGGCAGATAGGAGAAGGGAAGGTCATTCCATTGTACCCTAAAAGGTGGAGTTGGAGCCCAACCAGCATGAAATCTGTTCTGCTGGTCTGTACCGAGACGTGGTAGCCTTATTTTTAATGTGATGTCTGTAGGTTTCTCTCTTGCTCAACCGGCTTGAAAAAGAGCTGAGCAAAGCAGCTTATCCCAGCAGCCTGTTCGGGGTGCCGCAAGGATCTAAACCAGATGCTCCTGCTGTGGCAGAGACATCTCTGTTGCTAAATGGGATTTTGACGTCAGCGGAGTAATGCTCTTGCCACAAAAAATGTGCTTCAATTGCTTTCCGGCCCCGTCCGACAGACTTAGGGGAATTTACAGCACGTTGTTTATCCTCAGAACAACCCAGTTAGGACGATTAGGCCACCAAGGTCATTCATGGAGAGAGACTTGTGCCAAATCACAGAGATGAATCGTGGACTCCCACATTCAAGACCTGTTGCTTTGTTTGAGACGCTATGTAGATGGGGGTGTTCTAAGGCTGTCCCATTTGCCTGATAAATCAGTTTCACCCATATATATACACCCACACATGTACACAAGTTGTCTCTGACTGAATGGTGCAACAGATTTGACACAAGAAGTGGCATGATTTAGTTGGTGGGGGAGGAACTTTCCTCTGGTTCATGCCAAAGTGGTTGTTTAGCCTTCATTAGAGGTTTTGAAGCAGAAGATGGAGGACTGTCTCACGGGGTGATGTCCTGTCCTGATCAAGGTTGAGCTACAGCAGTGTTTCTCAACCTTGGCAACTTTCAGATGTGTGGACTTCAACTCCCAGAATTCCCCAGCCAGCATGGGTTAGGGTGGCTGGGGAATTCTGGCTGGGGAATTCTGGGAGCTGTAGTCCACACATCTGAAAGTTGCCAAGGTTGAGAAACATTGACTTAGACTATGATGTATAAAATTCCACTATGAGAAAACTCACATTCGCCTATACTCAAAGTACGAAAAACAGTGTGAAACAGGGAAGGAGACTTCCAAGAGATTGAAAATTCAGTGGGTCTCTTAATAGTAACTTATGCTGGCTGGGGAATTCTGGGAGGCTGGGGAATTCTGGAAGTTGAAGTCCATATATCTGAAAGTTGCCAAGGTTGAGAAACACTGAGCTAGAGATTATTCCATTTCTGTTTCCAGATCTTTAATTGACAACTGCTTGCTTGTGAAGAGGCATTCCTCTTCTCTTTCAAGCAGAGTGAATGCCTCTTCCCAGACAATATCGACTGCGACAAAGACCTGCCTCTCAGAACAATTATTTTTATTTCTATGTATAGCTGCACAGATTTTATGACCGAGGAATCTCTGAATTAAAGCTATATGATTAATATCTGGATTTGTTTAATTAGGTAACCTTCTTGATGAGGAAGGTATGGGTTTATTCACTCTTGATTAGATTCTCGGGCAAGACATTATAAGAATAAATTATAAGGTGGGGCTGTGGACTTTGAACTTCCTAAAACAAGTTAAAAGTTTTTTGAGATTTCATCAGAGAGCAATGGACGAAACTCCTATGCACAAATGTCCTGAGTGTTAAGGTGGGCTTCTCTTCTTCAAAGATCCTGCAAGATGACTTCCTGGGCTAAAGTGAGCAAATACAGAAAAAGAAAGTGGTACCTAGGGCTGCCAAATATTTAATTCACTCCTGCTCCTCAGCAACAGCTATAACTGCTGAGGTGTATGGGCCCAAATGGTGCAGTTAGTCATCTTGTAATAAAAAGCTGCATTAATTTAGACACCACAGATAGCCTACACTGAATATTCCCACTAAGGTTGGCACCATACCGAGCCGATGCTGCAGACAAGACTGTTTTTTGGATTTAATCTGCTGTGGGTGAATGTGTATATCTTCCCCTTGCTTTTAAAAATGCTAATGATTAAATAAAACAAATAACAATAAAAGGCAAAGGAATCCATATGTATACATAAAATAAGTTTTACACTGAAGCAAAGGTTGAAGTGAAAATATGATCATAAAAAAATAAAACAATACAGAAGGAAGGAAGGAAGGAAGGAAGGAAGGAAGGAAGGAAGGAAGGAAGGAAGGAAGCTTATAGATAAAAGCATTCTAGTAGTCCTCCTCTCTCCTCTCCTCTCCTCTCCTCTCCTCTCCTCTCCTCTCCTCTCCTCTCCTCTCCTCTC